ACGCGAATTTGCACCGCGAGAAATCGAATGAAATGGCTTATTTAACAAAACGTTTGTTTTGAGAACGGGGGAAGCGAGTTGGCGTTCGAGTTATCGTCAAACAAAGCTGCACGTCAAAGAATTCTGCACAAAGGTAGACTGATTCAAAGGATCAAACGCGCGCGCGTATGTGTGCGACAAAGTCCATTCGAAAGTCTGCATGGTTTCCATTAAAATTCAGTGAACGTTCACGGCGCTTGGTTAATTATGCGAGCTTGCAAACCGATTGAACGGGCCCATATGTGATTAGCAGCCAAGCGGCTGACTACCGAGTGCCGATAGCTATACAAGTGCATTGCCCACGTCCGTCTCCCGCAGTTGTGCGCTGGGACAAAAGAAGAGAGAAAGAATAGAGTCTGTCGCGCTACTCACTTCATTTTGGAGGAAAGCCGAGTCGGCGGCGATGTTGGCTAGGCTCGAGATGATCTTGGTCGTCGTCGCCGGCTTCAGCAGTCACTGCACGCACGCATACGAACGACACTGACCAACAGCCTCTGTTGTTTTTTCCCTCTCTCCCTCGTGATTGGTTATATCAAGAGATCTCGGAGGTACATAAACACAAGACACTCTCGCACAGTTAAAACACAGATTAGAGAATAACACTGGCTAGCTGCTGACTAGTGGGGTATAGCGGCGCATGCACATCAGTGCGGCACCGCCGCCGACGCCGCCGCCGCCGCCACCACCTCCTCCTCCTCCTCCCGGCGTCGCCGCCGCCCAGACGCTGCACCCTCGCTGCTGCTGTGCTGTCGCTGGTATTGTGATGCACCGTTGACAGGGCGACGACTACACTGTTGTCACACGCTCGCGGCGGATGCCGACGGGACGGTAGAGCGAGATCGAGAGCGAGTGCGCGCACTTTGAACACACACAATCACGTACACGGGATCGAGCCGCCGCCAGCACGCGCTAGCTCTCTTTCTCGCGCCCCGTCTCTCTCGCGCTATCCCGCTCTCCCAAGCCAAGTGCTTCGGTGCAGCAGACTTTCCGGACTGAGCGCCAGAAGCGAGGCGAGCCGTGCCCCGCAAGCCTCCAGTGCTGCCAACCCAGACGGCGCTGCCTACACCACGATAGCGGCTTGCCGTGCGCTAACTGTCACTAGGCGCGCCGCCTACCGCCCGGCACACGTGCAACGCTGGAGGGGACCAACGCGGGAAATGCGACGAACACGTGCACGCTGCTACTGGCGCTTTTTTCGCTCTAATGCTCATCATGTGGCATGTCCTATACTCTTATGTGGATTCGCGCAGTTGTACACGTTTACGCCAAAGATAGCCAAAGGTTCACAACTTTCTGAAATGTGTTTTGCTATATGTAGCTAGATTCATCATTTGTCTATTTACGATTAAAACATTGTCAACGAACGGCGCCCAAATCACGCTCAACTATATTCTCATCGTTAAGAATGAATGCATCGAAAAGTTGCAATACATCGATTTTTTAATTGATTTTCATTCTTAAACATTAACAGCATTCATCACATAGTGTATATATTACAAATGTCTAAGTATTTATGTTTCATAAACACAATTAGAAACATAATTGACCAGTCAATGCAACGAATATCACCGAAGATTTAGAAAAACTTCGTAATAAAACAATAGGTAAATGCAAATAAAAGTCAACTATATTCAGTAACGGAAAATTTTACGGATTTTATCATAATATCAATACCATATAAATATCATTATTTGCTTGTTTGAAATAAACGACACTTTAATACAATTGATAGTAGATTGGGTACTCAGTATTATGAATGTCTTTAAAATTAAAATATTTGGCAAGTGCATAGGTTCCTAAAAACTATAATTTATTTATTAGCTACTTTTAAAATTCGCTTGCAGCATATTGGTATTAAGCTGCCGAAAACGGCCATGAAAAATTCCGGTGCGTGCATAAAGACGAATTAAAAAGCCTGCTAATTATCTAATGATATTGGTGGTCGCCGAAATCAATTCGAATGTACTTGTAGGTATTTGCACGAAGTGATTTGATGCGCCGCACACGAGTTTTCAGCTGCTTTCAGTGCTTTCTGTAAAACTTCGCATTATCGCTGAAGCGCGCGATGCACTGTGCATATCGTGATCAACGTAGGTCAAGTCTGTTCGCCACATAAACGAGGGAAGAGCGAACGTCGCACGTGCATCTTACGTGCATGCCATTCAGCATTGTGGCCATTTCGTCTGAAATAGACTTGCAGAAAGTCAGGCATATTTTGCTCCACTATTTAATACTTTTTAGCTGGTGGTCTTACAACAAATACTAGGCATTTCTGAAGATCAAATTGATCGGCAAATGAATAATCGTTTGTTCAAGAATAATGCAACAAGTTAAAGGGGGGTTAAGAATACTTCAGGATGCTGCAGATGAATTTCTGTTGTACCTTGAGTAATTGCTTTAAAACAATGCGAGGGTATTCTGTGTGCAGCTGCGCAGAATATCCCTCAATTTACTAGCAGTTACTCAATTGATTGAATAACAATATTTTATAAACTGCAGAATAGTTTCGTAGAATTTTGTTGACAATATTCAATCGATCAGCTGATATTCATGGGGTATATATATTTCAATTTATAATACATTATGAATGGAAAAGAGTACATCAAATAAAATTACTTCAATCTTTATGATAATTCGATGATGGTACAGAGTATTACTAATTTCTAATGATTTTGTAAAAGCCTTAAAAGATGATAAGTTTTTCAAAATTTTTATTAAATTCTATTGATTCTAATTTTTAATCTTTATAAAAAATTAATAATTTTTACTTAGGATTGCACTAGTATCTTTTTTAATTAATACCGGTACGTGCATGCATACAAATATGTGCGTTAATAATGTAGAGTTAAAATTTGATGACCGCGTTTTAACCTACTCGAACTTTTATCTTCTCCGTTATACATTCACATGCGTTCATCTACCTGCTAATTTTCATTTATGGTTTCATTTGTTATAAAATTCTTTTTTGTATACATGTACATAGTATACAAGTAATTTCGAGTTCGCATGTTCTATTAGTTTTGTGATGTTGAAATACTTATTTACGACTTTATTTCATTGCAATGTCAATAGTACAACCTATAATCACATTATATAATTAATGTTCCATGAAACTTTTTATGAAATTTATAATTATCATACTTTGGAGATTAAAACTGATATATCACATGATTATAATTTGTAGCAATTAATATTTCGAAATTCTTTTTAAGTCTATGTATATCAGTATAACTAATTGGCATGTTTACATGCAAGTATCGATAGTCTACTAGGTTACTTGGTCGAGGCTAGTGATATTCTGAGGAGGTTGGTCAGCGTGCAGTAGCGTGATTGGCCGTCAACGCGCCTCCGCCCTCTTCTCATTGGCGCTTGACGATTACCATGGTAACCGACGCGCGTGATTGAGGTTAATCGACACCGCATTTTTAGACGACCTGCTTACTGCAATGTGGCGCCTCCTCAGTCTTCTGAGCGCAACTCGTAACTCATGAGATAATGCACCGACGAACATCGAGTATTACATTAATGTTTATTTGACTATATTTGCTCTCTTCGTATTTATATCAACGAATCTTTCAAATACAGTATTTATATTCAAAATATTTACGTGTAGTCAAATAACCATGCTTCTTGGTCCCAAATTGTTTGAATAAATAAAAACAAATATATACGTACATTTTCATGTCAACTTTATTTCAACGGTCCCTTTTTTTAATAACATGCATCGTTTCATTTTTAAGATACAAATTAAATTTCCAACGTGTATATCATTCCTTTGTGCTAATTTAATAATTACCATAAGCCATATAACATTAAAAAATTTGGTTTCTGAAGACAATCTCATAGTAGATAAAATTGACGTATAAAGAAATACAATAAATTTTAATTTTTGATTTGTATAAATATACGCGTAAGTTAATGACAAATTAAGTCCAAATCACAGTTAGTTAAAACGTTTTTCTGCAGTAATAATAACTGTTGCAGCGTGCGTTCTCGCTCTATCATTACTTCATTCATTTACCAACACACTGCAATATTTGTTAACATTGATTATTAACTGACTAATGCATCTCATTTCCATGAAGTGATGTACGTCTACAACACGTACTCTTGTAGATATAAGCCTAAAAAAGCACAAACTAGAATTAAGATGGAAAGTTTTCACGTAATTAAGAAATTGAGCTAATTTAAATCCAAAATATCGAGTTTTCATTCTTAGTGCGGTGGAACTTAATGAATTTGCAATCAAATTTTTGACAGTTACAACTCATAAAACTAAATTATCCTAAAAAATGGTTGTATAAAAACTGTTTAATATTAACACCAATACGAGCTTTTACATGAGACTTTTTGAACAATATTATTCCTGAAAATATATTTATTGAATATTTGATTGTTAGAAGTTAGAGCGCTCTCCTTTTTAAATATATATTCTATTTTCTTTCAAGCTGAAATAAACTTTGGTATAGTTTAATAAACATTCTTTTATGAAAGTATGCCTAATTCATTTTAAGAGAAAAATGTAATAACGTGTTTAGAAAGCAGAAGGGCTATTTTGCTTGTGTAATTGAAGCCTCATCTAGTTTTAAAGCACTTTAGCTGCAGCATCGTAAACAATCATTAACAGCGCGGAGAGATAAGTCAGAGACAGAGAGAGGGAGAGAAAGAAGCGCATAGACAACACGCAACTCTTCCCACAAGAGCCACAAAGAGGTGCAATAACCAAAAGATTATCAGCGATCAGTTCCCGTAGTCGCTCCTTGCTGCACAGAGAGAATTGCATGTGCGCGCGCGTCCCGTTTGTGGGATACAATAGGGACACACTCACATATCCATAAAGGTATACATTTATTATCTGAAACACATACATGTAAGGCGGTGTGCCTCGTCAGTCAGGAAAAAGTAGGGGAGAGGAAGGGAGAAAGCAAGCGGCGAAGAGCCCCCAGCAGTCGAGTAGCTAGCCGTTCGCGTGTCATCACAAATGTGTACGTGCGACGCTCGGGCTCGTACCAGCTGCAAGAGCTGTAAGAGCTGGACTGACTTGTCTCGGTGCCTAACCTCACTTTTTTGATCGCAGACGACGCGTCAATTCTGGAACAAATACACAAATTGCTAAAGCTCGCATAGCAAGCGGCACTTCATGACAAGTGTTTGCATGCTTGAATCTCCATCGAGTGCATATGTGCGTGTATCTGTATAAATACCAGTGTTGATAAAGCCGCATAGGTCCATGGCATCGTACTAAATAGCCGTCTGTCACGCTATATCTTTCTCTCCTCCTTTCTATTACTTCTTTCTTTTTTTTTCATTTTTTCGCGGAGAAAAAGGTGCGCGGATAGCCACGCACTCGAGTCCGTGTGTATATGTGTGTTTGTACGTGCACGCGTGTGTGTATGTCTGTGGACCTGTGAGGCGCGAAGAACTGTCCGCGGCGCGTCCTTCACGCTGTGGAATATGAAGAGCTGAGAGTGAAACACAGGAGGTTGTCGCCTTTTCATCCAGTCCGGTAAGCTACCTCTGATGTGCTTCATGTATCCTTGGCTTTTGTTTTTCTTTTTTCTTTTTCCTGAAGCGTGATCTCATGCTTTGAAATCCTTTTTTCGATACTGATGGCGCATGAGTTGTTTTTTTCTTTGCTTTGTGGTGTACAAACGATCGTACGATATAGAGAATGGTATTACACTGCACGATCCGAACGTTAACGGTCAAATGTTCATATGTTCCATCGTCCTTTAATCCATCGATAATTTTATTTTATTTTTTTCAATGAAAACGTGGCTTTTAAAAACTCATTCGTTTTATTTTGTCAAAATACTTAATTTTATTTAAAATAATTTTATTTTAGTTTTTTCAATGAAATCGTGGCTTTTAAAAACTCATTCATTTTATTTTATCACAATACGGTTCATAAGTATTACGGTATAATTGTAGTTATTTAGCTATTCGAACAACGACCTTCGTGTTTAGATATTCAGTTTGCAAAATTTGCACGTGTTTTATCTCTGAAATTATGCTGCACTCAAAGTGCTCCAAAATAGTTAAAGCGGAAAATGATCATTTTCAAAATGCACTATTATATTAAGTTTTACTAATAATTATCAAACAAATATTTTATGAATATACGAGAGATTAACAAAATTCTTACATTTACGCTATCTAATATGTTAATTAGCTTGTCCTCTATGCAAATTTTCGTCATATTTTTATCTCATCGTAGATATATCCGGATGTCTATTTCTATTATCATTTAGAATTATATATAATTCTGAAAGCTAAATTACCGTAGGTATTATTAAATAAAATAAAAATAAATGTTCTAAAAGAATGCTATCTACCTTTGAGTAAATTATCTCTTACGTCAGTTTAAACAAAAGCACTGTATTAGTTTCGTACGATAACAAAAAAACAATATAAAATTTTGTGTAAAATCGCAACTAAATAACATGAACTATCCGCAAATTATCACGCCAAAGCCTTAAAGATGCATTACTAAAATCGATTTTTACTTCAATTTGTGAAGGTAACGCTTTTTAAATATTTTTAAGTTATAAAATAAACTTCCGTTTATTTGCTTCCACCTATTACAAAGATTTTAATAAAAAATTGAAATACGGCCGTTTCGTAACGAAAAGTAAGAAAAGTTAGAGAAAAAATGTCGTTAAGCTTGTAGTAGGATAAGCTTATTTATTCGCTCATTGTTGAACAATCAAAGATAGTTAGAATGCTTGATTCGTCATTATACAATTTAGCGTTTAAGCTTGTTACGATGTATGTAATTTGTATACTCATGCAATGGCCCTATAATTGGCCTTCTAATTACCGTTCGGACAACGGAAATCATTCCTGTAGCACGCAAGGCCGATTATGTGTAAGGTTCTCTTTTCCGCAAAATAAAGGAGTTCAGAATGATTAGGTTTTTTATTACATATTTCCCTAAGATCACCTTACTTTTGAGGTCAATATACTTCTATATTAGATGATAATCAACTTCACGAGTTATTCCGTAAATAAGTATTCTCTCTTATAAAATCTTGAAGTCTCTCTTTATAATAAAGAGAACTTTGACAAAGTGAAGTCAACTTATTCGAGATCTGATTGGTTGATAAGTAGCCACGTGAACAACTGTTATATGATAGTATATATTTGTTGTGTACTAAAAAATTGCTGCAGTATGATCGATATATTCACACAAATCTTAAAATAAAAACCGACTAATACTAAGATAAAGAAATTCATTGAATTTTGATCATCTATACGAAAGTTTAACTTCGAATAAACAAAGTAGGCAATAAAAGCTACAATTCGTTAGATTATCGCGATAAAATATTATAGTGATTTTAGCTTTATTCAGTTATGTAAAATATTGAAATAATTTTTTTAAATAGTCTAATTACAATCTTGAACGTCTATTGAAGTATGTTATTTACATCGTGAAACATATGATCATAGAAAACTATGTGTTTAGAATTAAAATTGCATTTTTATCGTGTTTTTGAAACTTGATGATTTTTCAAATGGATCAATAAATAATATTGTCGACTACATCTCATATTAAATCACATTGAATTTTCGAATTTTCAATTTCGCCAATAAAAATTTTGATTTATATTCTTGCATCAAAATAAATGCGAAAAAAGAACGAAAAAGATAAATATGCGAAGTGTCTTATACATCATTAATTACATCAAAATAGGTTGGCTTCACTATAAATAGAGTATTAATCAAAATAAAGTAGTCTTGGTTAATTCTTCCGCAGTATGTTTCATAGACTACTTTTTATTAAATTGTTTGCGAATTCAATAAAAGTAATCAACAATAGTTTCAAATTATGTCGAAATATTTGATGTATTTGAATATCAATACATAAAAATATAAATTATCCTTATCGCTAAGTTGTAATATTATAATTGATTTTAATGACAATTATATTATTACAAATTATTATGAATTATTACGAATTATTATAGTTGGTTTTTTATGACAAATTGGAAATAGCTGAGATTATCAACGTCAATTGTAATGAAATGGTTTTCAAAGACTCAAGCACGATCGATTAGAGGTTTAGGCCGATTATACGTAAGATCTGTTTTCCATAAAATCAAGGAAGAAGATGGAAAAGTGCGGACTAAGGAGGGATTGAGCGCGCTAGTGATTGTAGTTACGCAAAAATTACTGCTCATGATCGTACAGTCTTAGCAAATTGAAGTAGGCTAATTTGAATTACTATTTTACAATCAACTACAATAAAAAACAAAGTACATTCACAAACTGGATTCATGGTAAGCTGTTGACAATATTAATCGCGATAATTTTTTGAATATGTTGTCCAATTTTGCACGACTAAAAATTAATCGATAATTTTGTGCGTTAATTTACATGTAAATTATTATATGAAAGACAAGCTACTTAGTAATTTTATTGGAAATTTTACATCCTCAAAGAGTAATTAAGTGTGAACTTCGACATTAAAATTGTAATTTATGGTCGGTCTTGGATAAAAAAATCAGCTTAAAACATTGTAATAATTTTACTAACTTATATACCGAGTTTATTTTGATAATATTTAAATCACAGTTAAATACAACTAAATCAATCAGTAACATATCCATCAAGTTAAATATCACATTAAAGTCTTTGTTGTTTCAACATTCTTGTGTTTGTTTACCAATATATTTTTGAATTTTTGCATTTTAACTTGATTCATATGATGAAGTTACGTATTTTCTTGAGTTGCTTGCTGGATTCTTTGGCTTTTTTAATACTGTTAGCCAGCCAACTATTGGGTGGTACTTTTGAAACAGGTTTCCTATTCGGACATATAGCAGGAAAGTCTGTCGGCTGAAAAATGAGATTAATCTTGTTGTACAAAAAATCGTAAGGTGACTTGTCACCAGAATCAACTTGGATATCGTTGATGGCTTTGTATTCTCTAAGAGCAGCTTTTTCTAGTAAAAATCAAACAGGTTTAGCCACTTATCCTCAGCTTGCTGTTTTATAGCAACGCTAGGAAAGATTGATTGATTTGTTTTAAAATTCGATTAAGATCTTAACAGTACAATTATACTTTTAGCATTACAGCATACATTTAAATTCAACAAACGACTAACCTGTGATAGCCATTAACATAACAATTCGGCCTTATGAACTCTTTTTCGTCAATAGAACATCGTAAACGTGCTGAATTTTTGATATAAGGTTGGATAATCAACTATTTATTCCAGGAAATAACTGTCATTTTCATGGATAAAATTTGTTTCAAAAGCGTATCACCTAACTAAACATGGAAGACAAAGTTATTTAATAAACTAAAAAGTTGATAATATTCCAGTATGCCATAAGTTATATTAAATTCTTAGCTCTCCAGACCTCTTAGCATAAAATAATTTATGCGTAGCAAAAGACATAGCCACGAGCAACAAAATTGTTGGCTTCTGTAAATTTGAGATATTTTTATTATCTTTTGATTAACAGGCTTGCGTGAATATATGCTTTTCCTTGACGAGAACGACGACACAAATTTTTCAATCAAAATTCACCAATGCTTAATCAAAATTTCAAAGGCACTTACAATACAGCGCCTCATACAAGAAAACCTGTAATTGAAAATGTTCCCTTCTTTAGTCAGATCATCGCCGTTATACGGTTCCATAAAGCCATATCTGAATTTGAAGGCATCAACACCAATGACGTAACAAAGAAAACATGCTTAGAATCAATTCTAAGAGACATAACGTGTATTCACATGAAATCGTGATTGGGATTGACGACACTAACACTATCATTGCAATACTAAAAAATCTCTTGTAATTAAAAAACAAAGATCCCGAATTATCTGGGGCATATATATGTATATGTTTCGTGTCGAAAAGAAAAAAGTATCCGTATTTTTTTGTTTCATTTGCAATTATTTATGAAAAGTTATTTAAACAAATTATCATAAAAGTCATTATTTTTACAAGCTGATTACAGCAATTGTTTAAACGGAAAAAAAATCACGAAAAAAAACCCTGTCACGTTTTTTTCTCTAAGGCCAATTTGTTGATGTAAAACGGTAATAAACAATATGCATGTCAGAATAGAAGCAAAATGCGATTGTTTACTATATTTTTAATTAAAAATATAGTAGAATTGAAACATAAGACATACATTGTTTAAAAATAAAAAATTTTAATATATGATCTAATATGTAATTTTTTATTATTATTGTTGCTATTTTTTAATAAATATTATTAATTAATCAAATAATCAATCCATATCTTGAAGTGTATTTGACTTTATATCATAAATGAATAGATTTTAATTCATAAATATGAAATCTTATTCATTTTTTTATCAATCATTGATTACATATTATCAAGAATGGAAACTTTGTCCACAACGTCGGAAACTATATTTATTTTAACTTGAGAAGTCAAATTCAAAATGTTCGTATAGTATCCATTGCGGATGTATCTGCACTCATAAATTAGTCTTGGTTCCCTATAGTCATAATTAATGTAAACTTACCTTTTTTATCATTTCTGGAAAGGTACGGAAGGAAAAAGTGTTAAAAATTCAATGAAGGTTATGGTTGTATCAATTGTATTACTATAATACAATTACTAATCGATGTTCCATCAATACAGCATCTTTAAGGGTATATATTGAGAAATTATGACAGCAGACAATCTGAGCGGACGCCCCAAAAAGAGAGTTTTTTTTGACGAAAGATTGTTCGCTGGTGGACGAGAACTCTTCGTCCGCCAGCCCCAGCCAACAATTTTTTCTCTGACAGCGGACAGTCCGTCGTCCGCTAGCAGACAAGCTTTCTCTTTTTGGGGCGTCCGCTCGAACGTTTTTCCACTCCCATGTAAGAGAGTCTTAAGGATGTCTTTACCATCACCCTCCTTTCTGCGATTTAAACCGTTTCTCTTCATCACATTCTTGTTGCAATTCACTTCTTATATTGTTAAGATCGTCTATAATATTTAATAAATCACTCAAGTTTTCGTCCATTTTGCATGAATGTTATTTAAATATTTTTACTTACTCCGAGTTTATTTATAATCTGTCTTATACATTAGCACAATAAGTAAATGTGATTACTAATATGATAAATTAATATTAGGCATAGATATTTAGAAGAATACTCCAGTAAATATTAATTTTATTTTTAGCTTATATGTTTATGGGATGGATTTTGATTTATTTACATCTTCATCAATTTGTATTTCTTAAGGCTAGTGAAAGTGATCGTTGTCTAAAGAAGTTTGCTGATGAGTTTATTTGGATAGTTATGTAATTTGGTGTTGTATTTTTCTTAAAACGTTTTGATTTCTTATTTTACTTATCATATCTGTAAATCATTTCGAATGCTGTCGTTTGATACGAATCATGGAGCTTATATGTTTTGTAGGATTTTTGATTGAAATCTTTCCAGGATTTCAATATTTAATTTTGAAGCGTTCCCCCATAATTGAATGCCATAGATCCAGATTGATTTAATTATTGCTTTATAGAGAAGTATTTTGTTTTCATTTGTAAACTCTGATTTTCCTCTAATAAGCTAGTATATTTCCCTCTATTTCAGTCCCAGTTGTTTACGTTTTCTAAATTTGTGCTCTTTCTATTTAAGCCTCTGGTCTAGGTGAACTCCCTAGTACTTGACATTATTGCTTTATAGTGGTATGTGCTTATCATTGAGTTTAATAGATAGACAGGTGTTATTTCTAAGTGTAAAAGTCGCATATGTTGATATACTTTCATTTACTTTAATTCTCTGTGAGCTTAGCCAGTTTTGTAGATAATTATTTATACAATTTTGTATTATTTGCTATTATTGCTCCCGAATGTGATATGAAGGTGGTTGTGTCGTCTGCATATGTTACTGCTGTGATTTTTGACAACTTTGGCAAATTAGCGGTGAATAACAAATAAAAGGTTCTCTTTGATAAACATCTTTTTAGTTCATGTAGAAGTCCTTTACGCCATATTTTATCAAAAACCTATACGATGTCAAAGAATATGCAGGTACGATATTGTTTTTCTTGCGACTATCACTATTCTGTTTACTTGTATCATGGAGTGATGACACTTAAATCGGAGTTGATGGTCTGAAATAAGTTTTCTGTTGATTATGATTGGATTGATTTTAGCTATTACTATTTTTTCAAAAAATTTTCGAGAGTACTAGTTAAAAACTAATCGGTCTACATAACGTCACCATTTCTGCTTCTTTACTAAGTTTAGAGATTAAAATAATCTCTGCCACTATCCATTGGATAGGAAAATAACTAAGACATGCATTAAAAGTAATTTTATTGCTATTATAGGTAGCTTTTTAATCATTTTTCATGTAATATTATCAAAGCCGAATGCTTTTTTGTTATTAATATTTTTAATTAAATGTAATAGTTCCTTTGTTTTAACTGTTGCAATTGATGTAGTATCTTGGACGTCCAGGTATTTTAGCAATGAATTATCTTCTTGTGTGATGATTATTCTTTGATATGATTTGAATACAGTGCATAGATGATTTACAAACGTGTTGATTTTTTCCTCGTCTGATCTGGGCCATTTGCCATAAGGTTTTTTGATAGGTAAAATAAATACAGGTGATCTTTTAAGTCTCTTGGTGACTTTTCTTAGTGAATAATCTGTTGCTTCTGTTAGATTTAATTAACTAAGTTTATTTGGTGTTTGTAAATTTCTTACTAATATAATATTTTCTTTTTGGCTGTTTTATTTTATTTTTTCTTTACTTGATCTTGTTCTTAGCAATCTTTTTTCTTTAATTTTTTTAGTTATTTTATTTAAAATAAATTGTGAAGACTTTTTATTATTCTTAGTAGTAGAACTTTTATCAGAAGCTTCGGTCAGGAGATGGTTGAGTGTGTTAATACCATTTTCTATTTCGGTATCTGACTTCGAAGGTATGTTACAAGTAAGACTTTCATCGATAAAAAGAGCGTATTTTTCCAATCTTTTTTCATGTAGCTGTTGACTGTTATGAACACTTATGAATGTAATGTAATTAGTACTGGCGAATGGTCTGATGTTAAATCCAAACCACAGTCGATAGCTTTCGTTTCCTCCATAATCGACACTTTTTCATAGTCTTCCTCGTCGATTTTGCGGGAAATAAAATCTTACGCGTAATCAGCCTAAGTTTCCATTTGATTACGCTTCAAGTCGTTGATAACCATAACTAAATTTGACATCAATCGCACCTTTTTTTAAATTGTTATAAAAATCAATCACAATATTTCAAATTAACTTATATCTTTTATATTTATATTTTCATGTGCTGATAGTTACATACATCATAAATGTCGTCATCATTTGAAACCAAAGTCGATTACTTTTATTGCATCTAGAAATAATTTAATAAAAAGTAGTGTACAAAATGCGTCAGTCAGAAGAATGACTTAAGACTCTAACTTTGTTCCGATCATTGGTGTACTGATAGTACAGTTAAATAAGGTGACCTTAGGAAAATAAATAATGAAAAAACTATAATAATTAACAATTGCTTTTATTTAATAAGATAGTAACAAATTCAATACTATTCCATAAACGTTAAGTATCGAAATTAATACTAACAATGTAATGAATTTTAATCAAATAGATGGACAATATGTGCTATAAGCCTAATATTACTATTGAAATATAGTCTATAGGTGAAAATAACAATTATGGACGAGCAACGATGGAAATCTTTTAAAACACTTTTATTGCGTTCACTTACTATGGAAACTTATTGGTTAAAATTCTTAACTAAACTACAAAATACAACCTTGAGACACCGATATAGTATATACATCAATTCGTGAACACAAAACTAAAATGATGGTTTATGGAACCTGACATATCTGCTTTACTTTACTAAAAACAATTTGTAAAAAATAGATAATTAAAATAAAGTTTTCAAATTTTCTTTTTCCCCTTAAATTTTTAGGGTAAGCAGATCTCCATTTGCATGTTTTTCATTATTGTTAATATTTTGTATAAAAACACTACTTTGCCCTATGTTACCTATGCTGGTAGGCTTCCATGGCGCCATATTGATATACCGCTGACTAACATGTCAGATCTCGGTAAAGTATTGAATTATTTCTATGCGATTAATTTGAAAAATAAAAATAATTTTTATAAAATGAAAAAATCATATAGCATTGAAAATTATTGAAAATTATACATATTCAAATGACCAATCAGCAGAAACGTTATCTTGCAATATTAGAATAATTTAAAAGTGGATTTTTTTAAGCAAATTATGCATTCTAATATCAACACATATATAGACGCTTATTAGTATATATGTGTTTGTGGACGATATTCAGTATTATCTAAGTTGTAAAACAGTAACTGTTCATCAATCCATATGCGTGCCTGTATAACACTTGCAAAAATATTAGGAGCCCGCTCAGAGTATCCCACGTTTTGGGCTAAAATTCCTACCTGAACAAATCTTTGGTTGTCATTTTTCAAAGGACAAACAAAAGGACTGCCACCGTTTCCCTAGAAAAATACAAGCATTGATAATGTGCTTCAATTAAAGTAAAATTATTGATATTATTGATAAGATAATTAATATAAAATAATATACCTTCCATATACTGTTTTTAACTCTATCAGTCCCACAGATTAGACTTTTATCGAGCAAAACATTGCTATCTAATCCACTTTGTTGTAGAGCTCTTTTGCAAATAATTCGAGGTAATATTTGCAAATTCATTCTTTTCAAAACCTTTTCGTACGAGTCGCCTGTAAACAATATTGCTTTAGTAATAGAAGTATCAAGAAAATTATTAATTTTAATTTATCAGAGTTTACGTTACCTAGATGGTTTAGACCCCAGCCGCTGATGATGCATTGAGTAGTTTTGAATTCATTAATAGATTCAGGAAGGCAAATGACATTTACGTTGTTCGTTATTTTTAATGATCGATTTAAGATCAAAAGTGCAACATCATTGAAAAAAAATTCAGAGTTGTAATTTTCGTGAATTATAATAGTTTCAACAGCGCGATCCTGGTGCGGCAATTTTTCGTTAGTACTTTGGGTATCCCATTCTCCAGCTCGAATTTTAATTCTCTCTGGAATTTTCCTGTAAATTAAAAACTGAAGGTAAAACGTGGAAAGACATTGACACTGATACGAATGCTGTAGATACATGATTTTCACGAAACATGCACTGGACGTAAAAGAAAGTATACCCGTCAACGCAGTGCGCAGCTGTCAAAACAACTTTCCGATGAATGAGGGCTCCATCGCAAATGTATTCATCTTGTTTGTCAGCTGTGTTATGCAACACTGCAATCGTCCAAGGAAACTCGCCGAATTTCGTTTCGTAATAGTTTCTGCTCGTCATACTTGAGTTGATTCCCTCAAAATGACGAATTCCGCAATTAGCCACACTTATTTGCTTCGTTTCAGAAAATATTATTTGGTCAAGGTCACAACAGATTTCAAGTATGGAATCGCAATCTTTTCTTTTCCTAAGAAATAAATCGAGATGAAAATTGATTAGCGTGAAGGCTTCAACAAAGCAAGTAAAATATTGCCTCGTTAGCGCAAATGAAAAACGCGTTAGTAGAAAGCATTTACCGTACAATTACGCTTCTCACAGGTCGTAAGTTAATGATTTCATCGTCGAGATTATCTCCAGATTTCTCGTTGCATTGCCAAATTGAGACGCATTGGCAATCTTTTGCTTTATTAGCAGTAGCGTGATTCCATTCCGCATTCATGAAAATCATTATAAATAGTATTGTATTGATTCTCACTTCCATAATCAGCTTACCTGAAATCAAATTTCGTAATATAACACTGTAATGTACGTTTCTACTGTTGTTACTGTAATGTACGTGACGTAAACAAATATCACAAATGGAATGACGATGATGGATGACAATTATACGTCGATAATATCTAGCGGCTCAGGTACATCCACGAGTGAATACGCACATATGGAACGTCGCCTATTAAAAGGATTAAAGAATGGTCAACTCCTCCTTGGATGTTCCTCTTATGTACGTAGTCGGCTTTATTAGCTGACTTTTACGGGTCAGTCGCAAAGTAAATTTGAGAGTTGCATCGTGTACTTACTCTTGTTATTCGACTAGCTATCAACTACGTATTCTTAAAATTTCTAAAATTAACTGTACGAGAAGTATTTTTAGTTGTTAGATAGATGTACGCTGTCACGAATCATTTGTGATAAGTTCTGTTCGTAGATTCGGCATAAATCAGGCAAAATTTCATCAATGGATACACACGTTTCAACTAAACTGTCTTATTCCTGAAAGCAGGCCAATAAAGAAAACGCCAACCAACTCGTATGCTTCCACTTTGCGCGCCATAAACCGCATCATCCTTTTCTCACTCGCCTTGTCATTGTCATGTTGTTGGCGATCGCGTGTCTTCGAGCGAATTAGCGATGACGACGACAACGACCAGTAAAGCAAGAGGAAAGTCGGTCTGAGCCTCTCTTTCATTCTTTTCGTTCCCTCGCTCAATCGACCGAAGCTATCGGCAAGTATATAGTGCTGATGTTTGCGCGATTTTCTTTTTCTCTCTCTCTCTCTCTCTCTCTCTCTCTCTCTTTCCCACCTACGTCAGAGTTCTCACGGTCTACTTCTCTCTAGCGGGCGCCCAACCCCTTAAAAAACGGCCTTTCAGAAGTCTCGACCCGTTGCGTGTTCTTCAAGTTTCGTGTGTATGAACGACCTGCTCTCTCGTCCCCTCTGACCCTCTCGTGGCATATTCACGCTGACCCACCGAATTTCTCTCGAATTTACCTACGACGCGCTTTATCCTCTTTTCTTATTTGCTTATTCTATTGAGGGAAGCGAGCACTTTTTAAATCCAGATGCATGGACCGTTGGCAAAAATTTGAAACAATTGTGCTTGTTTACAACAACAAAAAGGATATTTTTTCTAACAATAATTTATTTAGATAGAAGGCGAACAAAAAATCTTTGTTACCACATACTCATAACACTCAAGCGTAACATCATTCAAAGCCGTAATACCCGATGCTTAAATCAGCCGTACTTTGCTAATAAAGTTCAAGGTTTATAGCCGTGCCAGCTTCCACTGAATAATTTACGTTCGATACTGCGAGGTGAGCTTGAGCGATTTTAACGTTAGCTCTTGAGATTAAATTGCTTTTTCATTCAACACTGCCTTAATAACATTAACGCATGCGTTGTAGCTCTGCAAATAATTGAGCTTTATCTTATATAAGCTGCTATTAAGCTCCTGGTGATTGTTACGAACGATAGACAAATCGCTGTAATAATCATTGGTTTTTGGTACAATACTTGAGTCTATTCTTTTCATTTTACATCGACACTAAACATATTTTTGTTAAACCTCCGTGCTTTTCCCTTTAAATTGTTATAGCACGAAGAACGCCGTTGAATTTTTCTAAATCGATAAAACATTAAGAATTTGATAAAGACTATTTTCCTCAACGGTAAAGCCTTTCTGACGCTGACGAACAATTTCTTTTGCGTCTTGCGATAGAAAGCCGATTAGATTATAAGAAAATTGCATTGGAATGTTTAAAACTCGATGTAATTATGACAAGATCTTGATTAAAGCTTTGCTATTTCGAAATTTAAATAAACGTAAGTTTATTAAAATAAATAATATTCCATAAGTAACGTAAAATCTCTGTCGTCTTATTTTTATCCTTCAAAGAAATTGCATCTTCGCAATTTTAATTGCCAGTTAAAATTGTCTGCTCGAGCGAGCAATGGCTTAAGTTCGCGACCCTTTTTAATTGGAGATTTTAATTAGCGTTTGATCTGTTTTGCTCTGGGCGCTTACGCCCGTCGTTTCTTCGATACTACTCGAAGCCAACGCAATCCATTGCTTCTGGTAATACTCACTTCACTGTCAGCTACAAACAAAGCTTATTTTAACGTAGCAGATTTCTTTTATGTGCTTGCGAAACAGAAGTGAAACAGAAGGAACAAGAACGTGCAGGACATAAATATAGCTCCATTGTATAGTTTGCATAGTTTTTTTTTAAGGTATACAATGGAATTCTACGCGGCAGACATTTGTTTCTTGGAAATATCGGTATGCTCGGTTATGCATGAATTTCATCTCTAGCTTTCTTGATATTAGTCCATTCAAGATTCCTACCTATTAAAGCAGTATGCTATAATTTATTTTTAAATGCTCTGGATAAGTTTTTAATTACTCATTTACCGTGATTTTAATTATGGCAAATGCTCATGATTATTGACAGTGTTAAACATTAAACTTTAAATCTACCGTCTCAACATAATTATTATTTGTAATAATAATAAAATAAAATAATAATTATTATTATTACGTAATGTTAAATATTAACGTTAAATCTACAATTCAACTTCTATCCACTCTGTACGCTATTTATCAAAGAAAGCTCTGAGTAAATCCTTTTCTCGAATCCTACAATCAATGAAAGCTTCTTTTTTAAATGTTGATAGAAATGAAATATCACAGTTATCCAGATAAGTTTTAAAGAATTAAGACATCTTTTTTTATAGGCTTGAGCTTATTACGTCATTCTGTGTAAAAATTTTATCAAGATCAGCTACGTCAAGTAAGTCGAAAAAACTTCAAACACAAGTGTCATTCTATAAGACGTTCTTGTATTTCGTATTTTCGCAAATATTTCGTAACAATACATAAAACGGAAAAATTGCACATGAAGCGCACAAATGCAAAAACTACATGTATATGTTGGTGTTATTACGTTTTTTTTTCTTACTAAAAAGGAGAATGATGGGAAATGAAGCCTCTATTGATTGTGACTGGTCAATAGTAGATAGAGGTTATGGCATACGATTGACGTGAATGCAGTGGTGGGCCGCGAAATGCTCCCGAGCTCTGTAGCTGCCTTCACTGCTTACGATTTCTTGCTTGATAGCACATGCTCTCGGCTCGAAATCGTAAGCAGTGAAGGCAGCTACAGAGCTCGGGAGCATTTCGCGGCCCACCAATGCGTGAATGCTGGTGTGACGAAAGATTTGGCGCGAGAATTGGAATTGATTTACATGTCATGTACAATTTACCAAATATTCAGCGACCATGCTCGCCCGGCTTGCATCTCTTTCTCCTGTAATACTTGCACGCAGCCACACTCGTTTTATACCGCGAGAGACGCACAGAGAGTGTTTTCCCGTGTTGCTCTTAGCGCTTCAGCCACGACTTCTTTTCGCGCCACGTAAAGTCAAAAAGATGCTTAATTAATGAATGTTTCATTGCATCATGCTCCATTCTTTTTTTCAAGATACTCGAGTGCAGACTATCTTAATTTGCATTTTCGAATTGAACAGCTCAAAAATGTTTAATAATTACATTTTACGCTGGATAGCTATTGGTCGGTTTAAATTTTTGAAATTTATACGAAAAGAATTCTTCACGCATATTGTTATATAATTACTATTAGCAATTTTACAGAAGCAATACTATACGAGGCTAACTTTACTTTCATATCGTGCAGAGCCATAGATTATCTTAAAACCACAAAAATGTTGTTCGTTCCTTTACCTTTTACATCAAAACTGATGTTTAGATCTGTGTTTATTATGTAAAGTCTTTATCTAACGTATGACACTTTTCTGAATTCATGCAACATCATCGATAGCTTTATGAAATAATAGCTGTAATTGATCGGAGATGTTGTCGACGAATAATTGCCCAACTGTACTCGTAAATTATGACTGTTTGGCAAACAAAGCCAGATGATTTTAGGGCAATCGTTGCTCCAAATATGACATGTGCGTCGAGGAAGCGACTCGAACAATATCGTCAGGAACAATACGATTACGAAAGACGCTTATCGGGATAGTTGCAGTAGAAAAATTTTATCGCTGATTAAGAAAATTTGAGTCGAAAAAGACACGATAAAATGCGTATGTGGGAGTATTAAACTCGCGTTATCAACGATTCCATCAGCGTGCATACAATTCCAACAGTTGCAAATATGTCATTCGGAATCTTGGCTTACATTCATGTTTAATGGATTTTGCCTAATGATATTCATTGCTGGGTATTATTATCATCCTGTAGTCGAGGTTGTTTGTGTGTGCTTGGCAGCTCTGCATACGATGCATTAATGTGCCAGCGCGCGTGAATATTTAAGGTCCACTTGCAGCGCTACGCGGACATCAGTGCCATGTACGTTGACGCGACTATTCGAAAAACTCAAGATTCATCCGACGTACAATTGATTGAACAATAGTTTCGGGCCACATTGCGCGCGTCACCGATCACCGACGACACGAGCCTGTCTCTCTCGATAGTAAAATTTGAATAACCGCCGCGGGGGATGAGAGCGGCAGACCGGCCTCGGCGTGCGTTTCGCGCGTCCGATATTGAAATTCGGATGATTTTGCCGTCGCGGTGGAGCGCTGTTTACTCGCGACGTCGGAAATCTCTGTGCGCGTCTCGGCGCGCGTAAATTCATGTGGCCGAGAGCGCGGAGCCGCGGCCATAATTCAGCGCCCAGATCGCCCACCACGCATGAATTGCGAGTTTGCGGCCGAAATCGCCCCGAGCGATAAGCTCGTGTACGCGCCCGTTTTGCATTTTAGGAACGCAAAGTCGACGTGCTATCGTTCTTTTTTCAGCCAGCCATCAATTTTCCTTCAACGCTCGTTACGTTTACGCTTTGTTGCGCCGCCGAATACTTTCGAAGCGCCGTGTGCGTTTGTCGATGCCGTACCTTACTGCACTTTGGTCGAAGCGAGGATTTATAGGAGTATTTCTTTTTGCGAATTCCTTTGCATTAGGGACTCGCGAAAAACGTCACTTTCATCTCGAGGGCAACATGTATTTAACCGGCTTTATACGCGAACTTCAAAAACGTTTTCAGCACTTTGCTATTAAATTCGCACTTTCTAGCGAGAACATTTGCTTTCTCGTTTTTCTAGAAAAACTATCGTCGATATTTTTTCTTTGCCTCAATTTTCTTATAAATACTCAATAGTAATCACAAACTAGCAACGATGCCTTATATCAAGATAATGACGCAAATCCGATAAGTAATTGTAATCAATATTTTCACCTTGCAAAAGTTACTAATTATACCGTTAAATAAAACAAATTGACCGAGAATATTATACTAGTAACATCAGACCACATGTATTTAATTAAGATACATTTTTAGGAAACTTAAAAAATCAAATTTTCCAAAACTTTGCTCATTTTTTCTCGAAAACTATGGGTTGGAGACAAAAACTATTCAAAACATTTTTTGTCCAAAATCCGCTGAAGAAACAGCAATTTTCAATTTTCAACTAGATGAAAAACACTCTATTATTAATTGTCGTTCATAACAATTTAGCGGCACAACATCCAAAACATTTAGATGTAATGGGCCAAAATACGTAAGAAAATCACATTAAAGAAACAATTATGAAACCATACCTGGCTGTTTGGCTGTTGGGGGTTGTGACTTCCGGACATTTGCGTCTTCTCGAGCTACAAAATAAAAATAAAGAAGCACGAACTTTTAAACGGGCATCATAGAAAAGAATGTTATTTCTACTTAATATATTAATAATAATCAAAGAAATTTGTAAATGGACGTGTGCTAGCTTTAACTACATTCGTATCATTACTATGTGTGCTAATTTTGATATTCATTCATACATTAACTGACTGATTTTCAGCAGCTTATGAGTTATTAGCAAGTATACTAAATCAGTGAATTAATCTAACCGATACCATTAGTTCATTAAGGCATGCCTTCATTAATGTGTAAACCGATAGCTGTGGAAAAATAGCATAATCATTTAGTATAGTTGCTAATAACCCGCTAATAGCTCAAATTGCAATCAGTTAGTATATAAGTGTTTGAGGGGAATTCAAGCAGAAACAAATATTACATCGAAATCTACTCCCATACCAACTAAAACCTAAACGTTTCGTCTGAGATCCATCCGTCTGACTTGCCAATATGTCTTAACGACGAGATCTTGCCATAAACGCGCTGATTACCTAAAAACTTAATTATTTTCACGATAACATAGATTTATCTTATCTCACCTTACTTAAAATTTGTTGAACTACTTATCCGGGCAACGTTCGTGACAGAGACTCACCGCTTCAAAGGACGATTTGCGCGTCACTAAACTTTCTCTCTACGCTGCACCCATGAACACTGTATACAGTCTCCATGCTGTATGCCCCTTCCCATTACTAGATGACGCGGCCCTTCGGGCTTACCTGCCCAAGCGCGTTCAGATTTATGCGCGAAAATTCAAATTTATTTCATCCTACTTTTAGAAATTTTCTTTTAGAAAAAGAGCGCCAAATTTTTTATTTTCTTATACTCTAAAATAGTTGCGTGAAAAATCTAAAAGTATAAGATTTATATTTCAGCAGTAAATGCAATTTATGAGTAATCAAAATATATAATAATTTACAAAAATGAAAATATGTCGTTAATAAATTTTTTTTAATTATCAGTATAAATCAATAATTTTATAAGTATCTATGACATTAAAATTAATATTGGCTTGAAATTTGGTTGGAAGAAAGAGAAAGTAAATAGACTAAAATCGAGGAAAATATATTTTTATCTACATTGTAAATTGAGCGGTAAGCGGACAGCGATCACGAAAATTAATTATCAGAATATTTAACCCTTTAAATTTGAAGAATGTTCACGGATATTTTCATCGAGGTAACAAAAAATATAACAAGGGAGCCGTGTAACCACTACTATTGAGTATGTAAGGTTCAATATCGTATAATAGTATTATAGCTTCGTACATTTTATCAATCATAGATTTAATTAATTCTTTGAATAATTTTTTTGACACATCTCTAAAAGCTCATCGGTTGTTGTGGAAAATTCAGTGCCTATATTTTTCATTCAATAAATATCTATGAAGTGTTTCAAACAGCACATTTTTCTATGCATATACCAGAAGAATCTAAAAATTGACATGTAAACGGTTCAAATAATATAATAAATAAAAACAAAAAACACAAGAGAAAGAATACGCGAAGTGCACTAAACCACACTGATATAATTTATTTAAGATACTGACATCGTCAACAATAAGAAAATATTAAACATTTGTATATGCAAATATTAAGAATGCAGAAAATCATACGTGACAATTGTCGATGCAGCAGCAAAAAAATGAGGTTGCGTGTTCTGAAAATTTAAATAGTTACAAATGTAATTTAAATGGTTCGACAGCCAAATATTTTGTATCCAAAATGAATTCTCGTCTAGAAATTTCAATGGAGCCCTTTCTTAATGATTAACAATCACAATAAAATATTGTAAGTTAGTAGGGAAAAATGGATGAATACCTAAAAATTTCGTGTAAATTTTGTACAAAGTTTGTATAAAATGTGTTAAAAATATGTACAAGATTTGGACGAGTTTTCTCGGAAAAGATTTAGACAAGTTGCATAGACTTTGTATATACATTTTGTACAAAATATACTATACTCAATTTTTAGTGTGGATGGTTTAACAGCAGCATTAGTATCGATAAAACGTTTAAACGGGTAGAATAATATCTAGTCGGGGCAAAAGATGATGAGAATTCGGACGTTGCAGGCTGGTAATCATCATCCTAGTGCGGCGGTGCGGCGATGAGCGGGTCGCGGCTTGGTAGAGGTCGAGCGGGCCGCTTGGCGTTGTTCGTCTGCGGCCTCCTCGGTGTCATCTTCTTCGTGTTCCTTTATCGCTCGACCAGCACCGAAATGGCAAGACTCAAGGACCTCCACGTGAAGTGCGCTCAGCAGCAGGAGGCGCTCGCTGCCCAATTACAGGGTGAGTCTTTTTTAATTAAACTTTTCGTCGCCGACCCCCGACCGTCGCTATCTTGCTGGCGCTCTGCCAAAAAACCACTCTCGTGTTCGAATTCGCTCTTCCTCCCGAAGCTTGGCCTACTGCAGATTGCATTTTCTTTTCGATTTCTATCTCGGTTTTGTCAACTGCTTACAAATCATTCATTATTCTACCGAAACTATAGGTTTTCGAACGTCATTTATTAATACAAAGGGCGGTCTGAATGTTTTTGTAGAGCGATTACAGTTTATTCATAACCACTGTCCTTGAGCTCGATTAACTTGCGGATGCTTTTAGCTTCCGTTCGAAATAATAATTGCTCTACTTTAACTCTTTCGTTTTATCGAGGCAGTCGATGCTAAGCATGAACATTTTTTTTACCTTCAGCTATATTAATAATAAAATCATGAATTACCGCCTTCGCGAAAATCCTACATGATGAATTGATATTTTTGAAAAAAGTAAATTTGCAATGGCCAAACGAATAACGACTGTAGCTTACGAATGAATTAGCTGAGCCGGCAGAGAGAAATAAATGGAGCGAGCGAGTCGAATAAGCATGGCGAGATAGCGTCGGTCTTTTCGAGCTCATTAAGCTAGCCGCTGATTCGCTCATTGCGAATATAACGAGCGACTGGAGCTCTGCCCGAAGCCATTAGAGAGAGAGGAGAGAGAGAAAGAGAGAGAGAGAGAGAGAGAGAGAGAGAGAGAGAGCGCGCGCGAGAACCCTCGATAATTGTTGTACATGTTTGAAACGTGCGCAGTGATCTACGAGTACAAGGTGCAGCTGGAGAAGACGCTGTCGAACGAGAAGAGTGCCAACGCCGCGGCCAAGGAGGAGCTCCAACAGAAGGCTACACGCGAACGCTCCCTCCGCGACAAAGACACCGTGGAGGCGAGCCAGCGTTACAACGCTCTCCAGCAGAGCTACAACATCCTCAAAGCCGAGCTTCAAGATCTCAAGGACGAGGGTAAGAAGAAGGAGGAGGTGGCGCGAGAGAACATCAAGCAACTGGAGAAGACCCTGCAGGAGCTCAGGGCCAAGCAGAAGAAGGACCTCGAGGCGTTCGAACACCTCAAGGACGAACACGTGCAGGCGCTCAGCGAGAAAGAGCAGATCGAGAACAAGTACGAAAACCTGAAGAAAGTCACCAGCGAGGACAACGGCAATGTCGAGCGACTGCAGAAGCAGGTCATACAGCTGCAGCGAGAACTCGACGAAGCCAAGGTACGAATTATTTACACCTTGCCTGCCTTCCCACCTTTGCTTCTCCATCCGAGACTTGCATCTGGTCTATGATTTATGATATGCATTATGTGCGACGCCACCGCGCTCAAGGCTAAGCGACACGTTCTTTCTTCCTCTATCTTGATAATATAACTAAGTAGTTATAGTTCGCTCGGCGCGGCCTTGCACTTGAAAAACTTATTACCTCTAATTGCTTCGTCTTTAGACAACATTTATAGCAATTGATTGTTGCTATATATCGGCTGAAAACTAAATTTCCAACAACAGAATCTAACTTTAACTTTCAAAGGAATGAGGCTATGATTACAAGAAACTTTACGTTTGTCCTGAGAATTTATAGCTTTCTTTGCTATGATGCAGACTTACTTTTCTAAACGATTTTAAAAACTTTTAAATTTTTTAAAATCGTCAACGCTTATTCTATGATGTAAAGGTAAATTGCAAATTTTCGTGGAACTTCACGCTTAACACAAAAATCACTTATTTCAGAAGACTCCTCATTTCTCGGTGGGAGGCGTGCGAGGTGCGAAGCTTGAAAGGTCCCAAGTGCTACCGAGGCTTCCGAACGATGCAGCCAGCCTCAGCGACAACGACGTCAATAACAACGAAAACAGCTACAATAACAATGCCGATAATAACCACATCGAGAAGCCAAGCAACGCGGAGAGCAATAACAAAGACAACTTGGCTCAGATGTTGCGACCGTCGTCACAACAGCAGGTAAGTCGACCGAGCGACAATATGCAAGCTGCTCAAAATCCGCAGCCACTACAGGCGCCTCAAAATCATCGACATCTCGACGACGAAGCCGCGGAAAATAACGCCGACGAGGCCAGGTTTGAGAGCCGCAACGGCAACATTGTCCCGGTCGGAGTAAACGAACAATTCGCCCGGCCTATACCTTACGAGCGACAAAACGAACGAGAACAGCAGGAGCAGCAGCAGCTCAAACAGGTCCTTGCCCCACCCGACGAGCCCAGCAATCTTGACGACGATAAAAAGGAATTCGCGCCGAATAGACTGTCGTCCAAGGGGCCCGCTGTGGTGCCCATGCTTAAACCACAGGCTGCTGCCGCCGCGGACTCAACCCAACTCGAAGACGAACAGAACAATGCTGTTGACTTTAATGATACCGATTGATCAAAATTTCCATTCTAAGTTCAGCGTTATAAACGACTTCGGAAAATGCCAATACTGATTTGACTATCGACAGAAACGTATGAATGTGTTAGCTTTAAGTTACATGGCATTATTTTATCATTTCTGCCTGTAATTCTATCAAGATTAATCTAATATGCAATCTCGTCAAAATATCAATTTAATTACTTTTATCGTACGATTTATAATAAATTGAGATTTCATTGCATTTATTTGAAATTATACTTGATAAGATTTTAATTATCATTAAGTTAGAATACAACAAATGTCAAAGCGCAATAAATTTTTATGCGCCTCTTGTCGATATAACTTTTTTAGACAGTATTTGAAAAATACTGGCTTACGAATTATGAAACAGACATTTATTTTATGTGTAAATGTTTTTATCATTTTTTATTTGTGTTAAAGCTTTCTTTGAAATAGTTTTCTAGGTGGGTTATTAGATGGTGCTATTGTACTTATCTATGTAGATTCTTTTTTCTATCAGTATAATTTACCCCTAATCTGCAGTACGTTCTTACCATGACAGGCAATCACACTAATGAAATTCCTGTATTTTTCTATTTCTTCTGTTTTTTATCGGAGCTGAAATTTAGAAATTAGTACAGGAAATATTGCATATTTTACTTTAAATTTATATTTAAAAATCAAATTGAGCCTTCAATCGTGTGATATATTAAATAAAATAGATTTTATAATTCAAGTGCAAAATCTGTCATTGCGGGGTTTTTTATACTTTTAATATTGATGATGGTTTCAATGTATTGAAAGTAAATTTTTACTCCCATTTTTGTATGTTAGTTATGTAGTTATGATGATCGTACTTGCATTATTTTCAGCTGAATCATTAAATAGTAATACTTGTTATTTTTTAATTAATATGATATATTTAAAAAATAATAATTTTCGATCATGGGTTAAAGTGATAGTAGCTTTGATATATGTATAAAAATATATACAGTCACTGAAATAGCACGTTAATATCGTCTCAAACTTAAACGCCTATTATCTGCATTTTAGAAATTTTTTTCAGCTAGTAATATTCTTTTTAATAAAGTTATAACTTTGATGAATGTCTTAAATTAAATGTCATAGCTATCGTATCTTTATAAATTTATAAATTAATTTTATATAAATAAAAAGGTATTTGCTTTCAAAAGTGCAGATACACGTATTTTCAGTTAGAATTATGAATTTTCAACTAAAAAAATTAACGCGCCAGAAAAATATGCAAGATGTTTGTGTCTGTAATTTTTTTTTGTGTTGCTCAATAGCTTAATAAATTGTTGTTATTTTTATTTGCTTGTGTTCTTTTTTGTTCTTTTGCCCTGTTAACAAATGCAACGTTAATTGACATTGTGACGAAGGCCGTGAAGACTAAGGTGAGACAATAAGTTGTGATGGTTTGATATTTTTTTACTGTACCAATAGATTGAGCATAAACTATTGAGACTGTTTTTTTTACGAAATCGTGTTGTTTACTCTTTTGTTAACAAATATTTATAATACATTTTTAAGATATTTAAATTTTCTGTAGTTATGATTAATATTATTTAAATATTGTTCTATATAATAATTCACGAATAAAATTCTACAAAGTATATTTTATGATTTAATGATGTCATTGTAAAGAGTTATTCAAAATAAATAAGTTAGATAATGCGTTGGTATCTTCAATAGTATCCGTCAATTAATCGTATTAATGTCACCGAGGTAAGTTACTATCTATGAAATATCGGAGTTCAGTATCATATCAAATTTTTTAAGTTGTATTATAATTTTGATAGAATAAAGTTTTTTAATTTAATGTATATTTTGTAGTATAATTTATTCAGATGTCAATGAGTATTTTTAAGTAAAGGTTTTCAATACTTCATCATGTGAGAATATAATTTGGTAGAAAAAAATTGTTATTGGAAAGAAAACACTCGTTCGTGGAATTTCAAACTCGTATTGTAAATATAGAAAAGTACAGTATTAATTTTATAATAATATTGTAGAGCACGTAGCAGCAAATGCTATTCCAAGATGTATATATAATACGTATGATCAAAAAAATCACTATTTATATGAATTGTAAATTGTTTTAATATTGTAAATAATATTATCAAATAACACTATTGTAATAGTTTCCTGTCACGCATGTTATAATATGACGGAATGCACTAATGAGCCAAGTGGATAAAAATAAACACCAAATGCAGGTAAAAATTGATATGAATCTTGAACCAAAAATCATCGTTCATTTATGTAAGGCATTACCTTTACGGTAAATATTATTCGAACTCACCAAATTATAAATTTTCATGTACAACGAAAACAACTGTTACTAGTGTTAAATGTACTGCTTGTTTAATAGAGTTGGTAATATATCTTACTTATAATTTAAGATTAAATAAGATAATAAGAGAAAAAAATTTTACGTACTAGCTTATTTGTCTTATTATTAACTCGTAGTAGTTGTAATAACAGAATATGCCTTCAAAATCAAAATAAATATAAAGTTAATTGAAATTCATAGTAATACAATGTATATACTCTTTCACTAACTTTAAAATAATAATACATTTTCGTATTCTCGAATGTTTTTACCTAGAAACAGCGTTTTAATTGTATAAAGCACAGTCCAACCATATGTAAATAGACATTACATTGAAAGGCTCCTGATCCGCAAAGATTTCATTTAATCACGTCAGTGAATATCACTTTTTAAAATTGTACACATTAGTAATATCAAAAAATACTGTTATGATTGTGATATATAATTTTCCAGAAATATTAAACACATGCCATCCCATAAATTGAACTGCAAAATAGTCTCGTGTGAAAAAATATCTCAATTGGGCTTTTAATTGCAGGCGGTTGCTTCGGTAGCGTCGAAACCAGGGATAGAAAATTCAAGTAAGCCATTGGCACTACTGAATAGGTCACCGGTGAAATTACCAGTAGGGGTACCACCAATACCCAGACTGATTGAACCTGATGCGAAAAAGGAATCAGCGGGTCAAGCACCGCCACCACCGGAACCGGAACCCGAAACCCATGTCAAACACATTGGAGAGCAAATTATTGACAGACACGAAGCTGAATCGAACTGGTTCAAATTGAAACATGGCGTCCAGGAAGTTGGCGATCCACATCACATCGAGAAGAGCGGGTAAGTACCGTTTTATCAGGTGACCAAATGCGAAGATCGACTTGATCGCATAACTACGGAGGTATAAACCGACATAACGGTGATTGTGTTTGGGCGTGCTTTTACTATGCAATAGCGGATCTTTTGTAATATAAACAGAGTTCACGCGAATTGCACAATGAGCAATATAACTAACGCTATAATACTTATATTATAACAAACTATTAAGAAAAGTGTATACGATATTATTATTCTATGCAACATTGACTCTTATATTTAAAAAAATGTTAATCCACCTGCGATGGTACAAACAAGTGTCGTCACGTTACAGTAAATAGCTATATAAAAAATAATAAATGATCTTTGAGTATTATTTCGATTTTTAAAACTCAAACTCTTTTGTTTGATTTTATTATAATTATTCCAGATTTGAAAATGCCGGGGGCAATGAAGATGTTGAACAATATGATGATTATAATTATAAGGAACCACAAAATAAGAATGGAGATCTTCACCTTGAGGAAGGTGAAGATGAACGTGAAGGTTTGTGAACTTTATTACACAACTAGTTAATTAAATCGAATATTATGATCATTCCATTATGATTGATTAATACACTTTCGTTCAGCGAATATTATCTCAAACCTTAAATTTAGTAAAAAAATAATAGGATTGAATAATTCATTGCAGATGAAGATGACTACATGCATAATAACATGAATGCTGTAAAACACGAGTGAAGTTTAATCTTCACAAATTAAGGTAAACATTGTTTATCTAATCATATACAAAGTAATATACCATTTGTATAACCATTATCGTGAATAAAACAAACTTTAATTTACAATCAGGTTATGGAAACATGAAATCTCTCTTTGAACAGTTATTGACAGCAGTGGCAGTTTTTATTAATAAAAAATAGTAAAATCTTGATAATTTGATACTGAAGAGTTTGGGTTTCCAAGTCAAATTATTGAAGTTTGAATTAGCAAGGTAAATTTTATGGAAAATTGAAAAAATTTCAAACTATTAAGATCGTCAAGATTATTATTTATTTATTCAAAAGAAGGAAGTCATTTTCGCGGAGTTTGAATTTGGTTAGTGCATAACTTCGACCGAGATGGAAGTAATTTGTTTTTTTATTAATTTAATTTTAGTTTCAGTCGTATTTTTTAAAAACTGGTGTTTGTAAGGAGAAATTCATTACGTACATTTGCTCGTGATTTTGTAAATCCTTTGATTTTTTCTATCATTGTTAATTCTTCAGTTAAATAAGGAATCGAAACTGACTTGATTGTTCTTCTTCATCCGATAAGTTTTTATCGACTCGTACCTTTTTATTTAAAACCATTTAAAACCACAGCAACAATATGACTATCACTTTTTCATTCGAAAACGGTAATCGTTTTATTAACACTTACGTAATTAGTATATGAAATTGCATCAAACTGTGACCACTTTTAGGTTCTTCAAACATTTTCAATCTTAACGTCAACTTCTGTTGAAATTTGAAAAACAGCGATCAAACAATTACGAATGGTTTCAGGCTTAACTTTGTTCCATGTAGCTTTCATCATTCTGGTCGCTAGTAAAATGTCTGTTTTGGTGTTTAAGTAGGAAGTCAATTCCATTATGTATATTAAAATTTCAAACTTTATTTTGAACTGGACAATCGTCAATGAAAAGTTCTATTTTTATTCTATTTTTGCAAAACTCGAATCTAAATTGAGGAGACACTTTTCAAACATAGCACTCGTTATCTAAGTTTTTAGATTTTATTTTTGGTCTTTTGGTAATGTTTTAAAAACAATAAGGTATGGCTGATTTTTTCAACTTCTCCAAGCCACCGAGCAACTCTGCAAGCGTTAAAACTTAGGCTTTTATTACAGTGCAATCAAATCTTCTTATGTGATATATCACTACTTTGAAAAATACAATAAGTGAGTACTTCGTTCAATGTAGAAAATCCTGAATTTTGTATACGTTTACATTATTCACCAACAGGAAGTTCTGTGAATTTTTGTAAGATATCTGTATTTTCCACAATAATATACTGAGAAACATCGTATTTTTTAGCGATCTCCGATATTAATTATTCACCACGTTCAACACTCGGCGTATCTCAACTTTCTATGTTAAAGTGTGTGAATTATATCTTTAATTCGATATATTTCCTCTCTGCCACTTACATAAATATTGCTGACAATTAAATCCTCTCGCTCGTGCTTATTATGTTTGTAAACAGATTATATCAAGTCATACATGGCATAAGTTCGAAATAGCTGTTCGGAGCAACTTTTAATTATCAACATAAAAATACATGTAAAAGTACAATTGTTAAAAAGTTAAAAAGTTAATGCATAGAACAAAAAATTTCTTTGAATGATCAAGATTTCGAATATCGAATTACTGGAGTTTCTTTTATTGATTGGGGTAATTTTACATTGGCCAGTATAAGAAATTCAAAAGTCCAGACTTCAGCTTCGAATTATCAATGATTTCAAATTAAAGAAGATCAAATTATCAAGGTTTTACTATATGTCAAGATAACAGTTCAAAGCCATCAATGCGAAGTCGAAGGTAGATTGACTTACCCGAAAGCGTTAAGACGATAACAAGGACTGTCAAGTGATGAAAATATATACTGAAACGAGTTTTGAAAAGTAACAATTGTAAGAAGACTGTATTTTTTTATTGTACAAAATATCCAATGCGACGAAGCTCGTGTCCATGGATATTGAAACAACTTAAGATATACTTAATAATATAATGTTTTCTAACAAATTTTATTAGCCAAAATTAAATTTGAGTGAGCGTGCAAGTTTCTAAGAAATTGTAAATTTAAAAGGTATAATAAGGAGAAGCGTTAAAAAATCTATCCGGAAAATGCAAATATCATGATTGGGTGCAATTCTTGTAAATTGAGCTAGCTAATGCGTATGATGTATATAATATAGTTTTTCGGCCTGCGTAGAATTTAAAATTTTTATAATTCAAATCGTGAAACTGATTGTGATGCTTTGAACTAACATCTATGTGCAAAGGCTAAATTATATCTCATTTTCACGCATTCAGTAATGTGATTTTTTATACCTGAACTGCAAATAACGACTGTTTCGTTTATGTACACCGAAAAATAAAATGATAAATTAATTTTCCATTTGTATATCAAAAGTTTGTAACTCTAGATTACTTAAGTAATTACTTTAAGTTAAACTAATTAATTTTGTTACGCCATGATTGATTTTAGTGTTATTTTTGTATGTCTTTATATATATGCTATTTGTATTGTTAATTTATTGATATTATATAAGTATAATTGAATTCAAAGTTGCTTTAAAGCTAAGAAGACTGTTTACATTTATTTTCATATGCTTAATATAAATATTTACAACTGCGGTTAAAATGATGAACTAATCAAAATGTCTAAATAAAATTTATAATAACTCATAAAAAATGTAAAAATAGGCTTGGCTATATGTATAGAAATGCATAAATATTTCAATGAACTTCTGAAAATATCTGTCTAATAGATCTGGAATGTAATTTTGTTACATATTTTTCTTGAAGCCATTTGAATGGAAATCAACTAAGTCACCTTTGAAAATGTAATATTTGTTATAACAATAGTATATGTGTATTTACAATAACGTTCGACAATGAAAATGTACATACAAACATTTTTTCATAATAAAACAGATAAACCGTATATATCGAAGCTTGATGTAAATAATTCCTTTTGTATAAATATGCTACTAATTCATAACGATTTAAAAATTAAACTATGTTTAGTCTAAATCTGCTGAAATAACACTGCGAGTGATTTATGACTGTATAATCACAAAAACGAGAAACCAATATAAAGAATTTTTAATTTTGATCGATATCCGTGTAAAGGGTAAGGATAAGTAAGGATAACAGAATGATTTATACTTGACGTGAAATAAATTTATTGTATCAAATAAGTAGTTGAAAACAAAGGAAACAAAGGCAGGGAGAACCTCGGTACCAACGAGGAGAAAAACTGTACAAATTCTTATGAAGTAGATATAAGTCGCGGTGAAATTACAAATAAACGCTTCTGATGGACTTAACAATGCACGTTTGCCTATAAAGAGGAGAGCGATTTGTCTTTGTTTGCTGTTAGATATGCAGAATTGCCTGCAATCTTTCTTCCGACGCTCATCCCGGACGCTGCACTCTTTACTTCCCGCCTTTACCAAGTGCGGCGCAATGCGCTGGTGCGAGTTCATGGGTCGAGTGTAGAGCAGCGAGATATATACAAAATCATGGTTCGCGTAACAATACAAGTTATTTCATCAAAGGCAAACTAACTCGACAACGTGATCGAACAAGCTCATAATAATTTAATGTATTTTCCATACTCGAAACAGAATTAAAATTACATTTCGCATCCATGTCGAAATAGGAATCTTGAAACTACGTGAAACGGGAACGTTTACGCATTATTTTTTATGGGCCGAGCCTACTTGTTGAATTTATTAAGAAAAAAATAAACTCAATCGGTAGCACAGTAAAACTTCAGTATATGCAGCTAGCGGCAGAAAAATTACCGAAAACATTTCATTGCTTTATATGGAGACATCGGGTACCGGCACGTCTTCGAGTGGTCAGAGGACAAAAGATTTTATGGCCTTAGTGGGTTCTCTTAGGGAAACAATCTCAAAAATACTCATTTTACCCTGCGTCTGCTATACACATTTCTTAACATTACTTAAACCGTAAAATGCGAGGGTGGTCCAGCGTGTAGTGCCCACGTGGAGCCCACAGCCTTTTCCTCATCAGATAGGTAATGGACTTTAAAGAGGGTTGTACTATCTCGGCGTTGCGTCCCTCGTGTGCCGCTGAGTTTTCCCAAACTTTCGCCCACGTGTTTCGCAGATCTTTTCCTCGCGATTGTTATCCGCTAGTTAAAACCATATTCCGATGCGTATTTAGAGAGTGAAAGCGCGCTAGGAGGTTCTTATCGGCTCGGCGTCTTCATAATTTGCTTTAGAAATACATTTTTTTTAATCGCCGATTTCCTATCCAAATTTTATGGTGTATTTACACATTTTATATGAGCGATTTACGCAATATTTCTTGAATTCTAATATTTTTCATTCTACGTTGAACAATGTTCACTGGAAATGCATAGGATAAAATACTTTCTTTTTCGAAAATAGATTCGGTAAGATTTTTCCTCTCGGATTAAATTAGATGATCTCCGAGACAAAAAAAAAACAAGATGATGGTTTTTTACATAGATTTCCATTGAAACTTCCGCCTGGTCGAGATTAAACTTAATTTTTTTGACTTTAATCTAATCGCTGAGTCATCGCTAAAATACCACATAATAGAGGGAACATTTACTAATAAAATATGAATAGGATAATTGCTCTAGGAGAAATAGGAAAACAAACAATAATTTCATAAAGATGAGTACATTATCCTTATACCTTATAAAGTTGAACACATCATTCATACAAATAGTTCTGTACAAACTATTAAATTTGAAATTAGAAGCAAAAATAGAGTGATTGGTAGTCATTTGCATGACTTGAATACAGCCGAGAGTGGTTTTATATGTATTAATAATGCGTTCATTTTCGAAAGCAAATGTAAAAGTCAAACTTATCAATAAATGAGGGCAAGTGAAAGAAAGAAACGAGTTTTCTATAGGCTAATGAGGACATTTTTCTCTGCGTGTTTAAGCGTGATATCCAAAAAGATTCCTTTTCCTACAGCATGATTCAGGGGACAAAATATCAAGTGTATGGTAGTACAACACTACAAGTATATATAATCGTAGAGAGGATAGCTAATTGTGGCCAATTAGAGCTTCAATATGCGGCTGGAGCGGTACAGTCAGGTCATGCGACGGCAGCGGCCGCGAGAACATACTGTACTAATAAGCAAGTTATGCCCACATCATACGTAAAATGGGGGCCCAGTACCCTCTCCAGCGCGCTCGACTCTACACTAATACGTATGTACCTCGTATATTCTGTACTGAGTTTTCTCCCACCTCCCCAGCTACTAAGCTGAACATTTCCTGCTCTCCGACGCGGCTTTCAAGCACTGCCTCTCTCTCTCTCCCTCTCTCTCCAGCAGACTCTGTTGCGCTACTTCAGTCGCAGGTCTCGGCCGAAGCCAGTATAGTTTGTCAGTCGAACCAGGCAACGCGCACAACACGTATCGTCGCAGTGTTAGTCTAGTTTGTTGTCATTGTCGTAGATCCGAAAATGGGCCGTCTGGGCTTCAACCTCGTTCGCCAGAAAGAGGCGAACAAGAACATTGAGAGCGGAATGGCCGATCAACAACAGCAGAACGAGCAAAACGAGAATAACGAGAATGTGGAGATTGGCGAGCTGATCATCGCCATTGACAGAGCTAACAGAAGTATCAAGAACGTGAGTAAATTGGCCTCATTGTTTACTCTGGCGCTTTATTCTTCTCACCGAAAGTCGCGAATTGTCGTTTGCTTAACGCACCATAGACGGCGAGAAAGTTTGCCTGATTTCTTTCCTTTTATTAGTGCACCCGCTGACGTGGAACGACAAGCTTATTGCTTTGCTAACGCTGCAGCCTACGATTTTTCGATGCGATTTTCCCCTTGCGGACATATGTGCATGTACCGGGTGTTCGCGAAGTAGCGGCAGCCTCACCTACTTACGCTCTTCTACGTCAATCTCTCGCAGGCGAAATCCAACAGTTTTTTTTCGACGGGGTTCAACTCCTGATCAAACATTTTTTAATATATTCCAATACTTTCCAGTGTCTCGAATAACTTTCAGCTCCGTTAACCGGAACTAAACATTTTCAAAGACCCGATCAACGATTTCAATTGCAAATTGACGCAATTTTAATGAGATGATTCAAGATTAATGTACGTGATTTTTTTTTTATTTTTTAGTACCGATGGCTCTCTATAACTCTGATTGCTGTGATCCTTACTTTGTGTGGCTATATCTTCATTACACAAGCCAGATTTCACTCGACGCAATCAGGTATGATTTACATAATATGTTTTCGACGCCCTTTCTATTTCCGTGTCATTTTGTCATTATTTTTTTTGTTTATCGTACATCGTATTTGCATTTTCAGTTGTGCACGCGCTCAACAAGATGCACGAAGAATACACTAACCGAATTAAAGCTCTGCAGGGAGATCACGACGGTAAATAAAATAACTTTAGTTTACTAAGTTTATAATTAAATTATTGATTTTTTATTATGAAATAATTTGTACTAGAAAACTTGCGCAAGCAATTTTAGTGCAATATATAATTGCGTATGTCAATGTAAAAAATGTATACAGCTCAAATATGAAATAGCAGATGGTCTTTTAAACTAAAAATTGCTTATATAGATTCATTGGTTCTCAAAACGCTTACATGTTAACACATTTTTCGGTGAAATTTTCAAATAATCAGAAACAACGTTGCTCTTGCAATAATACCGCACATCTGTCCACAATAGATAAACTTCGTACATGTGACTGCAATGGTGCCTTTGTACATTTTCTTTATCTTAAAAAAATATGTATCATGTTACGGAGTATTTTGTTTCCAACACTCCTTTTTAATGAAAAGGTTTCTTGGTATTTAAGCTCAACAATATAACCAGTTTGTAAAAAAATGTGATTGAGCCACATCACAAAGAAATAATGTTATGCATAATGAATCATCAAGACTTCAAAATCAGCAATCGTAACATTAATCAACATTCCGAGTTATGGACAAAGTCAATTACATTTGTTTCGCTCGATTTACAATTTTTCATAGAAATTACCCCATATTCACGAACCAAAACATTAGTCACATATTGTGTATCTATTTTTCTAATCTTCAAAACACGATTTTTACCAGTTTTTTATTTCAATAGCTCAAGCACAAAAACTCGAACGATCACAAAACTTGATGCTGGAAGAAAATATGCAGCATGAACTCGAAGAACAGAAAGCGCTACGCGAAAAAGAGAGCGAAAAATACTTCACTCTCCAGGAAAAATTTAGCACTTTACAAGGCGAGCACGAGGATTTAATTACTCAGTGCCAAGAAAAAGAAAATTCTATGCAAGAAGAAATACAAAAATTAGAGTCGGAGCGCGATGAGTTGATAGGCAAAATCGAAGCTACCAACCGACAACTGGAACTTCAAAAAAGTGAAAGCCAAAAGCTACTTACTACCACGACCACGGCGCGTCCACGTTTCTTTGGATCTAACCAGCTTAAAAAACTCAACGACCTTATGAAGGATATAGAGAGTGTAGGTCGCATTGTTGGAAACGTATTCAGAGATGCAATTTAAGAACTTTCGCTTTATTCTGGTAATTCAATCTGTACATAGTGAATAGTTTTGTGTTAAATTATAAAACGAAAAGTATTTTGTATCTAAGTCGAATAAAGTTCACATATTACATTTTCACACGAATCAAACATTCTAAGAGATTTCGGCGCACCTAGTAGATATAATTTTGAAAGCCAAGGAATACAATTGCTAACTAAACAGACATTAACTGTAGTGCTATAACAATTAATTAACACAAAATTTACTGTGTACACTGGATTAGAGTTTCTTTTCTCGCCACATTTTAAACTTACACGTTAACATCCAACATTAACACTCATCTGCAACTTTTCTGTACTAAAAGAATCTTCATCTGTTTGATATAAGAGCACCATAATTCTCTTATATTTAATATTTTTATTCAAACGTATTGTTTCAGGGCGCAGCTATGCACGATATTAATGGATTTGTGAAAAAAACTGATGAGATTTTTGGCCATTGATTAATGCCTAAAAGTATTAAACAACGATTATCAAATTGTAAAATTTCATTCCACTCAAATTTGTTTTAAAATTAAAAAAAGACAGACACATTATGCGATTATGTGTACTTTGGTTATGTTTCGTCTTTTTGTTGTAATTAAAAATAACTATTTTTATATAAATATTTTAACAATTGAAGAAATCACGACATTCCAGTCGGATTGATTGTAACATTCTGCCATGCGTATTTTATTTCCGTTTATTTATTTTCGAGGCAAACGTCGGAATGTTTGTTTAAAACAAGTTATTGTTAATGAGGAAAACCTAACACTTGTTGTAATTGCTATGAGTTTAATGTATTAAAGTATTTTGTGATACAATAAAGATATTTATAATAAAATACAAATCAAATGCTTATAAATACTAGAATAAAAATTATGAATACGTTGTCCTTTTTAAAACGTATGTGCTATTTTTGTTGTATCATGTTCAATATTAGTACATCGTTTAGATTTATCGTTATAATCACTAAGCGTGTTCCGGCAGTACTACGTTTCTTCAATTATTTTTCTATCCTTATCTTTTAAATTTATAAGCATGTATAGACTATTAATATTATAACCTTGTATATTGATCTTCATGCGTGGTAATCATTAATGCCCTCATGCGTAGCGTGTTAGCATGGTTGCCACTATCCAGGAGCTTTGTATTTTTATCTTGACCCTAATCTGTGTATAAATAGAGAGACAGCCACATATTTTTGCAACGCAATGTTCTTGCGAATACCTGTTACTACAAGAATTACATAGTCATAAAGATAGTAAGCTGATATCTTTAGACACAAAATTGATTATATGGCATGATAATCAAATCGAAGAACATTGCGTGAAATTGAAAGAAATTGGATTGGCCTACTCCGATCGATTATTTGATTGACATGTTCAGTGCTGAGCTTCAAAGAAACAAACTTTGTTCAGCTTCATAAATAATTCATTGTACAAAATAAAATAAAAACTGAAATGGCCCTGCAGTTCGACACTGTATACAGTAGGTATCAGCATAAAGAACAGAGCGCAGCAGCCGATATAGATAACGAGGCTTATACCGAGTGCACGGCGAGTAGCGCTGTCCGAGTTGAGAAAGTAAAAACTGGAAAGGTGCGTGCTGAGCAAAGTATACACAAAAAATACTAGTCTGAAGCGCGCCACAGAGGCACAGGCACAGGAAGGCAAGTTTGGACAATCAGCTGTCCAACGCTGCTGAAAGGCAGAAATTCCCCACTTAGGCTGCTTTCTGGAAATCGAGATGTCGGCCGACGTGAGCAGCCATGGTAGTCGGCTGCCCGCCTTGCCACGAACGATGTCGCGTTATACTAACAACAGCAGCGCATCGTCCAACCGAGAAGGCCATAGCGAGACGGATGCTCCGTTGCCTTCTTACGGAGAGTTAATTGGCAGTGACAATCCCGTCGCTTTCAAGACTGACGTGCTGCTACTGCCCGCCAATACAGCGGATCAAGGCCAAAGCACTGCCGACGCACCTAATCACCAATGCGAAAACGCGCCGCGCTTCTCTATTTGCAAGCCCAACAGAACAGTGAGTATTGATTTCTCTTCGAATATGCACCGTCAAACGACTTAAAAACTTTACCAAAACGTCATTCACGCCTACTGTGTCGCTTGAAAAATCGCTAATAAACGAAACATACATTCCACGAAAACTTGTCATTTTACGCGTCGTCTCTGCAGAATTGCAAAATATTTATCAGAACAATTACAGTGATGATCGAAAAGGGAAAAAAAATCGCGTTCTTTTCGACGCCGAATTCAGTCATCTGTTAATTTGTGAATCGTAATCGACATGTCGCTAAACAAAATTCAGCTTATAGTTCAAAATCTTTCTGGAGCAACTATACGGCGAAATTAAAAAAAATCTTTTACTTTCGGATTTGATGTAAAACATTGAAAAACTTTTGATTTTTTCAATTTTTCATAAATTTTTGGACATATCACTTAAATGCCTAAGTGTCAACGTCTCAAGTCTTAGCATTGCGTTCGCAGTGCATTGTTTTTCGAAAATACTATGTTGTTTTAACAACAGAGAGCGATAAACTACTGTTGGTGTCGCGTTACAATCGCGCCACCATATATTGAGAGTTTACGACTAAAAAAAAATGCGGCTTCGTTTGAACGTGATGCTTAACTTTGACACGTTTGTATCAAATTCCAAAGTATAAGCGGACACACCGTGAACGAGATAATTATTGTTTCGGAAGTTGCCGTTTACTAATAAACTAATCGAAATATTTTTAAATTCCATCGCAGTTGTTTCAGAAAGACTCAAAAAAGCTAAATTTTTTTCGCGGCTTTTCGATCATTATTCACCAAATTGAAGGTGTCTGAAATCGCCGTCGAAAACAGTGTGCTCTTTTTTTTCCTGTTTTTGCCCTTCTCAAGGCTACTTTAATTGACAAAGTTATCCACTTGACAAGTCAGAAGACTAACTTTCTCGAAAGGATAGCAACTATCATCTCCATCTAACAATTGATTTTGTCGGATACGCTTTTCTTGCGCATTATTGTTCAGTTGTGCTTGCCTACGTGAAAAATCAAGAGATTTAGGAAATTATCATGATCAACATTATTAATTTCAATCACGTTAACATATTTATTTAAAAACTTATCACAATTCTCCATTGGCAATATTGAATAAGTAAAAAAGTTTTTCTAGTGTTCGTGTTTCTGGAATGAAATATCCGCACGCATTCTGATATTTCACAGAACGATGAGCATTGCAATCATTTTTGGTTTAAGTTTAATTTCCAATCGAACCGGAGCTCCAGTACCTATCTATGCTGATTTAATGATTTTTTTTCAATTTGGAATAGTGTACTGTACGAGATTCATTAATGCTTGAAATCGGTAAAATTAAAAAAAAAACATAATTGAAAAATCAGTGAAATGAATTCTTGAAAGATCATTAAAATATTCTTTAATTTTTCAGGGAATTATTCTTGTTTTAATAGCTTTAATAATTATACCGATGTGCGGTATGATAATCATTCTTCAAATAAAAGTATGTGCCACGGAACAATCTCAATTTACACGTATGGTTTGAATTACTTTTGAATAAAACATTTACAAACTTTTCCAATACATTTAACATTATTTCAGAATCTATAGATAAAATAAATGGTTCATACGGTGAATGCACGGACGAATTGTCCGCCTTACAAGATAATCAATATTTGCAAGAAAATCTAATTAGAGACTTAAAATATCAGGTACAAATATTGACTGATAAAATTAAACGTCTTCAACAACAATTTATAAAAAAGGTATATCAGTTTTTAATAAGTATGCTTATCTCATTTATTTTATAATTTTTTTTATTTAGTTTATTGCAATATCTAGTTTTTTCCGAAGATCAATGCTTAACTTCTCCATAAGCGAAGAAATATCGAGAAATTGTGCCAGTTTTATCAGATGAAAATCGTTGCCTTATGCCAACAGATTTTGAAATGTACTAATCTGTTATTGCCTTTTCAGGACCCAAAAAGTATTGAAGAATAATTGGAAATAAAAGAGGACACGTCTCAGAGAAAAAACAAATTATTGAAGCAATTCAATTTACATAATGTTAAGCACTGAAACTGATAAAACAGTATATTTTATAGCTTATATGATGAAGATTATTCTTTGCAAGAATACGTACCTGTGTAAATCAACAAACTTTATAGGTCTACTATAAAATGATATATACTGAAGCTAATCGTATTATAGAAAATATCATGATTTATTATTTAGTAAAACTATACAGTAATTATCAGTGAAAACATTTTTGTACGCAAAAAATGTTGCTAAAATGTTATTGTCAACATTATTTCGCATGATTTACATTTGTAGCTTCAACTTTTGTTAAGTTATGATTCTTATGAAAAAACAATTTTTTTAATAATTGTACAAAGACTTGATAACATAACCAATAATTTTGTGATCATAAATATGTATTGTAAATGTATAACACAAAGTACATAGTAAATTTTTATATTTTATAAATAACTAAACAAATAGTACTATTTATTAATTTTTGTTTCCCTTTTTGTTTTGAATAAACAAGCTATTTTTCGAAACGAATAATTATCATATATACAAAGTCATTATTTATAAATTCATGAATTGCATTAAAAAACTTTGATTTACATTTCGAACAACATTGTATTTATTTCGAGTTCGGATAACGACAATTTGCAACACGAACGTCCACAAACATCATTATTTTAAGTAGTTTTGTGTGTGTGCATATATATATATATATATATATATGCATTCAATTTTGAATGACGGACCTGAATATCTGGAAAAGTTGACGTACGAAAAAATTGATCAGACAAAAGTTGTTCAGGACAGTGAGGGTCATCTACATGTCTTGTTAATGTTTACCTTGAACTTCAATTTCAATAATTTGTTAAAATGGGAACCCCTGCATTTCACACCGGATTCGAACAGAACGGGAAATTTTACGATCGGAACTGTATTAGAAAGGTCAGATACCAAGGTCAAATTGAGATTGAAATCCGAAAAAACATTATTTGCGCATAAGATTGGCTCGTTAAAATATTCCAAGAGAAATTTGATTGCCAAATGTAAGGAGTTTCTAACGAAGAATCAACTTATACTTCGAAAATAATGGGCAATGCTTTGAACATTTATTGCAATAACACTTTTCTCATCTATTTAATTTATCACTTTTAGTTAGTTTCGTTTTTCTTAATTAATTAATTAATTGAAGTTACGTACTCGTACTTTTTACATTAATACAAATTGTTACACGTGGAAACAATAAAAAGTATTTCTGGTAGTAGCATCGATCACGTTCATTATTCATTAAGCCTTTTAGCTAAAGTCGTATTGAGTACCAACAATATTTTTGTATTCAAAATTGCATATTCAGATTTGTCTCGACGAGTAGTATCAAATAAAAAAAGAATGGATCAATTCTCTTGTTTAGATCGGGAGAAAAGTAATGTCAAAGTCGTGCTATGCGTTTTGAAGGTACTTTACGAATTTTTGAGCGACCCAAACTATCGGCGTTCGACTTCTCCTCACCACTCGATGCTAAATCTTTGATTCAGTTTATTTTCAATCGTGAATTTAATGTATATATATTTGAAGCAAAGGCATTTTACAGTCAAAAAAATCTTGGCTTTCTTTTTCGGATCGATTAAAAATTTTTCACTATCTACATTTATTATGTATTCGCTATACACATTTCTCAACAATTAGTGTTATTACCATTCTTGTATTATTTTCAAATTATACTAGATACAGTTTTTAAAATGATCTCCATCGATTTTACATAAGTATAAGTGATTAACGTTGCAATTACGAAATCTGAGGAATAAGCAGAAAATGACATGATCAAATACAGAAAGTGAAAACTTTTAGCAGCCGATTCTTCAACTTACTGAAGAAAGTGTAGTCCTAATCCATATTGATAAGTTCATTTGTAAAGTAAATAATTATCGCTTTCAATAATAAACGTTTCGACATAAAATGTACAGAATAATTTTAACTGTCCTTATTCTATAAATAAGATTCACAAGTTATTATAATTCATATACTAATAAAGCTTATTCGAGTAAAATTGTTTTTTAGTTTTAATGTATTGTTGTCAAATAAGTAAGCAAATTATGAGTCTGATATGTTCCAATGATTCGGATTCCACTTTACACCGTTGGTTCAGTCATGATACGCGCGTAAAAACTTCTTTCACACCATTGCAAAAGTAGTAGGGGACGTAAAACTACATACTAATGATTAAAAGGAATCAAGATTAATGTGTACATAGTTTTTCAAGTAATACTAACAACAATAACAATGTTATTGTAATAAAAAATAACATTGGTTTATTCGTTATTTCATTCGAATACTTTTGACCTATTTCCTATCTTACAATCGCTAAACTTTGTAATAATTTATTGTCCACGTTATGATTATATTATGTTAATAAATAACCTTAAGAGACAAGCGAACTACGCTAGCAAAACGTTGGTTTGACATGAAACAGTACGAGCAACGGCGCATCTTATCGAAAAACCAACTGCTCTCTTATCATTTCCTTCGCGTGGACGACTTGTACAGCGATATATTCGAAATGCCGTTCGTTTAAGAGAAAAAGTTCTTTTATCAGACCACAATTATTACAAGATATTTTTTTAATGCATCGGTAAGAGAGATGATGGTGTATAAAGACATAATGAGACAAGTTTTAAGTCGTATATGTAAAAAAATTACTATCTTAAAAAAATGATGAGTCGCAGACATCCAGCGTTGTGAGTGGTTGATGCTAAAAAAGAGCGTAAAATTTTTAATTTCCATATACTTCGAAATATTTTTATTATATCTAGGAATGTGAACTTTATATTTCAGCAGTGAATTCAGTTTATGATCAATTATCATGGATAATAATCTGCAAAAATGGAATATGCCATTAATAAATCGTTTTGAAGACATAAGACGTTTTGTTTTGAAATCAGCACAAATCGTTAATTTTACAATCATTGATGTTACTGAAATGAAGATTATCGTGTTAAAATTTGGTAGAAAATGAAAGAAAATAAACAGAATAAAATAAACGAAAATACATTTTTATCTTTGGTACATTGTAAATTAAGAAGTATGGGAGTAATGGAAACTAGTTATCAGAATATTAAATCCATTAAATTTGAAGAATATTCACGGGTATTTTTATAGCGGCAACAAAAAGCACACGATGTTAAATGTATTATTCATATAATATAAGAATGAAGCCATAATCATTTTTATTGAGTATGTAAAGTTTAGTGTTTTATCATAGTATAATTTATTGATCGTAGGTTAATTAATCTTTTGGATAATTTTCTTGAAATGGGTAAAAGTTCATCGGTTTTTGTGAAAAAATGGGTGCATGTTCTATTTTTATTCATCAATGAATATTGATGTATGTAGTGTATTTTAAACAGCACGATTTATTTATCTCAATTAAAATTTCCAAGTTGTCACGTAGAAGGTTCGAATAATATAATAAATAACAGAAAACTTAAAAAGAAAAAGGGGGCGAAATAACATTAGTAATAAAATAGTACATTACGATACAAGTGGGCGAAAGTAGATCGCTTCGCTCGGGCGTAAACGCCACACGAGACCGGGAACTCTTTCCCTAACATGTGTCGTACAGTATTTTTCGATACACGTGGAAAGCTCGTTTTTGAATGCACGTTTTTGATCGAGTGTGTGGAAAGTACGTAATTTCTGCACGGAGTATTGAAAAGAAGTTAATTTATATTTAATTTTTTTTAACTCGTATTATTCTGTTACATAGCGAATTCTTTCGTGATTGTAAATTAAATGTTTACATTATGACATGCCTTCATCAATATATTAAGAAAAAAATGTATATACTGTTATACTTCACATGAATATTATCGATTATCTTCAGGACATGTAAATATTTTCTGTTCCGAGTCGAACGTAATATTTTTTATAGATACGAACAAAACTATGTTAAGAAAACTAAACGTTACTTATAGAATTAGAAAGATATATAATATAATTAATGACAATGTAAATATATAAAATTGTGATAAGTACCTTTGACAAATCTTAATGGGTGTGATTATATCAATAGTTTCGCCTTTTCAAATACATTTAAATAGATATATAAGTTTTCAGACTATTACATTAATCACGATTTACGTAATATTTTACACTGAAGCATATTAACATGTAAATGTTGTACGGTAAAATTTCACGTTGTACATGCTGGCAAGTAAATCACAAAGTGAGACAATCTGTCGAAATAGTTTTTGAACTAGCCGGAAGTTGAACTTGTTGTTTTGGCATTGCAAATTTAACCATGACCTATTAAAGTTGTTTTGGCGAAACAAAACTATTCTCTACTTTGGCATTCTTCATCCAGTTGTACTAGTTTATGCATATGAAACATCAAAATTAACTTTTTGCAACGCTGACCTTTGCCTGATCTTTCGGCGGTTTCGGTCACTTAAACTTTTATAGCCGAAATAAAAGGCAAGCTCGCGTGAAGCTATATTGTCCCTGAAAATTGGCAATTTTCACTATCTGATTCTTTTATGTTTTGTTTTTATAGTAGCGAAGGGTAAACCGAGAACACGGGAAAAATTCGTGTGGCGTTCTGGTTAGAAATTTATACTGGTCACCGTTAAGTAGCAACAGGAAAAATTGATGGATTTTACTTTAATACATTCTACTGAAACTCGCTCGGAATATCGTCATTCAGTTTCCGTACCGTAAAAATGAATTAATTACCTCTCGCTAACTCGACATCGCAGATTATTAAAGTTTAAAGTGACTTAGTTCGTAGATTTTGAGATTTTGTTTAAGTATAAAAAAGTGATGAATGCCACGTTGAAGCATTTTATTTGTGATCTGATTGGCTGAGATGTGAGTACGTGATAAACTGCTAGGTGGCGGCAAATAAGCGTGTATGTATAGTGTAGAGATGAGTTGTTTCCTTACTAAAAAGGATGACTTGTGTTGAAGATCAAGATTATGGCATATGATGTAATGATTTGACGTGAGAATTTGAAATTATTTATACACTTTGTACAAATCGACAAGCGTTTAGCGCGCGCAGCGCGCATAGTTCATTAATGATCATAGTTACTAATGATGTATAAACGCGAATGATAATTAATAAAGAAAACATAATGGAATATTTTATTTTTGACTTTCGTGCACGACGAGAGAAAGCTTTGCGTGCTTCGCTATTATTGATCACTAGTATAATATTAGAGCTAAAAAAATATCAAGATTTCACTTGTCTTCGGATTATGTAGGGCGTCAATTCTAATGCGTCTGTGTCAATAATTATCCTTGATGAATGACAGCGATTTAAAAAATCGATAGTATAACACGGTAGACTGGATTATTACTTATAACGCTGAAAC